AGTGAGATTTAGGGTGTTTTACTGAGGTTTATGGTGTTTGGAACCCTATTTTGAGGTATTTTCTCGTGTTTTCATGTTAAGGGTGTTGCTTTGGTATATGCCCGTCCAGACAAGAGGCAGAGAAGGCGGTCAATGCCTATCATAATAAGAAGACTTTACTTGGGGTTAGTATGATTTTTTAATTTCTGTTTCTTTGTTTTGCCTTGCTTTTTAGCTATTATTTGCCACATTGTTAGTTATTGTTGTGAAAATCTACTTGCTTCTATCCAAAGTTGTTTGTAGTGATCTTAGCGTATTGTGATTAACTTGACGCCTGTAGCTTCTTCCAGGACAAAGCTTACATAAAGTTTTTTAGGTGAAGTTTGTGAAATTCTTTTTTAAAAATGATTTAATAAAAATTTTAATAAAAAATCTAAACCGAGATTGATAGTGTTCAATGTGAAGGTCAATAATATGTAAAAAAAATTATAAAAAATATTATTTATAATTTAAATTTAATTAATATTTATTCAACCATAAAAATTCTGTTAATATTTTTACTGAAAATATTTATCTAAAATATATATTAAAATTTTTTCAAATTTTGCACACTTAATCTATGTAATGAGATCTTTCAATCTATTGGTTTTGATTTTTGATTTTAGTTTTTATTTAATTGTTTGTAGTAGAGAACTTCATGAACTTCACCTAAAGAGCTTCATCTAAGTCTTTCCCTTTCTTTCAACAGTTGACCTACCAATGTAGAACCTAAGGACAGCATCTGCCCACTCTATTTCACTACTGAAGTATGAAGCATTCAAAATTGTTACCGTGTTTTGAACATTGTAGTTGTGGCATGAATCTTGCTATTTACTGTATTTGATACTGACTGCTTGCATCATATGGAGTTAGTTCTTATGTATCTGGTAAAACTACTTTAAACTTGTGTCTACTTAGCATTTTGTAACAAACTCAGTAGAAGTTCTTACCTGCTTCATCCTGTGATTAAGGTACATGCAAATTATGCGTTGTAGACTATGTAAGTTTGATAATTATTTATACCAGCTCATTTGAAGTAGCTTGGTATCTTGAGTTTTAGAGACAATGGAAAAGGAGAAGATTGCAACATCAAATTCCAGCATGCTGTAAGCTTAGGTTTTTTTTTAAACACCTGGTTGTTTCTCGTTTTGAGAAATTTTACTGGTATGTAAAATATGAACACTAAGGCTTTGTAAACTGGAGATTACTTTTTATAGAACATGATTTGGAAAAGAAACAGGGTGATTTGATGATTGCAACCATGACTTTGTCTGAATTTCAAATAATTAAGCAAACAATAGGAGTTTGAGTTCTCCTTATAGGGTGTCACTTAAGGCAAGCTACTTTCCTGCTATTTGTCATGTTACAACATTATGTTAGTCAATAGCTATATATTTGATTGACCTGGTAAAATCTCAGAGTGAATAAAATCATAGTTTATCATAAGAATTATGCTGTAATTGGGAAACAAGAGGTAGCTGATCAAATATGAATTTTCTGGTTATTAATGTCAACATAATGAGTGAAAGTATATGATTTAAAACAAAAGAACGAGGTGATGCTGCAGCTTCAGACTCATGCCCTGAGTTCTGCTGTATGCCTTATGGTTGAAGCACCCGTTTCTTCATTCAACATGCAATATTTGTTTACTTTTTTCAATACAGTTGAGCTGCTATAGCCAAGTTGTATAAGCAACGAGCCTCATAAGAATTTGCAATTCCATGTAATATTGCAATTGAAATTATATAAGTATGGATCTGATAGATCTGATACATTTTAAACAAAAGCAGAAGAACCACATAATTGTGTGTAAGCATATATCTAGGAATCTAATGACAAACTAGGCACCATCCCTTCTGGGACTCAGTGTTAACATAGAATTTTATTAACTTGGATAAATTTGATTTTGATGTCAACGTATCCTAAGATGGTTACTAGTATGACCACACAAATTTCTTCCTCTGGTGTTGACTTACATTTGTGGCATGCCATATTTTTCATGATTGATCATCATGCATTCTGTTATGGTGTGTAAGATATGTTTGTTTACACAATGTGACATATCCCTGATCTAGGATTTAGAGTGATTAATAACTCGATTGTTTTCATTCAACATTTAATGGAAAATCTATGGACAATTCAATCTGAACTACTTTATTGCAATGAGATATATCTACTGTCATTTATTTGTACTTAGAGATTATAGGTGAGAGTCTTCTTGCTTCCCTGATTATAACTCATCTTTCTGTTTTTTCTGTTTTTGTCTGATTCAGGCATCTAGTCCATTGCAAGTGAAGTATGCAGATGGCGAGTTGGAAAGATTAGGTATATATAACTTCAGTAAATTAAGTTCTTATAATTATGCTTCCTATGTGGTTGTCAGGATTGATTCTCATTCATTATTTGGTAATGCTTCTTTTATCAAACCTTTGACTAAATTATGAATTTTTGTCTTCCTTTTCCTGTCCATTTGATCTAGAGCACAAACTCTTTGTTGGCATGCCACCAAAGAATGTCTTGGAAGCTGAAGTTTCTGCTTTGTTCTCTAAATATGGAACCATAAAGGACCTACAGATTCTAAGAGGTTCTCAACAAACAAGTAAAGGTACTTTTTTTTTAATCTTGGATTCCTTTTCTTTCTGTCTTTTAAAGAAGAAAATCGTTTTAAGTGCTTAATTGTATAACGGCAAAAACCTCAGTCTTAAGCTGATTTCAATATTTGAATTGTAGTTGTATTGGTTTCTTTATGGCAGGCTGTGCCTTTTTGAAGTATGAGACAAAAGAACAAGCCCTTGATGCCCTGGTGACCATTAATGGAAAGCATATAATAGAGGTTTAAATCAAAATTTAATTTTTCCTTAACTCATGATGTTAGCTTAGTAATCACTTAAGATTCCAATGTAAACCTGGAAAATCATTTGCACATGCATCAAAAGATAAATTTGTGGCTTGATATCCCTATTATGTATTGCAAGCCACGAAACCAAACCCATTCTTGTGAATAATTGTATGTTGCAACTAGTATCAAAGTTGTCAAGCAAATGGGCTCTCTGTACAAGCACATAATCATTTATATTGATCAAGCTACATTTGGGCTTACATCTGAAATATCCTTCTATACCCTAGTGGATTGCAAAATTCATAGATACAATTGAAGTTCTTGTCTAGTTGTTTTGATTACCGCTGGTTCTTCTACCAGATAATTAGTCTTTAATCAAAGGCTGATCTTTACCTCTTGGCTTCCAACTATGAGTTAAAGATGCAGTGGCCACCACCTTAAGTAGCATCTTTGCTCATAATGTCAGATAGTGAGTTAGTTATTCTTGAAGAAAAGTGGGGTATTGTATTCTGATCTTTATCTTTTGCTGTTTTAGGGTTCAAGTGTCCCTCTTGTTGTCAAATGGGCAGATACAGAAAAGGAAAGACAAGCTCGAAGGGTCCAGAAAACCCAATCTCAGGTTTCGAATATACCAAATGCCGATTCACAACATCCATCATTGTTTGGAGCCTTGCCAATGGGTTATGTTCTCCCATACCATGGATATGGATATCAGGTAGTTTTTTCTTCTTTTTTTTTTGTCTGGAGCAATTTAAAATATCGGAAAAACATATTTTGGGAGTCAACAGTGATTCTGTTTCCTCATATTTTAACTGAGTTATGTAGGATTGTCTTTTTTTTTTTTTTTTGTCATGATGTTTTGACTGAGCAATTTAATATCTAAATGTGATTGATCCTCTCATTATTTATTTAGGCTCTAGGAAGTTATGGACTTATGCAGTACTGCTTGCCACCAATGCAGAATCAGCCTGAATTCAACAATATGTTTCCTCCTGTAAATCAAGGAAGTGCATTGCGAGGAATCATGCCTGACCTCACTCCCAATATTGCTCCAAGAAATTATGCTATGCCTCCTGCAAGTTATGTAGGCTCAGCTTACCCCGCTGTGCCAGGTCTTCAGTACCCCATGGCATATCAAGGGGGAATGATGAACCACTGTCCATTGACTAGTTCACCTGGTTCAGTGCCACCAGCAAATACAAGCAGTAATTCTCCATCATCTTCCAGTAGTGGTACAAGTTCAGGATGTCAGAAAGAAGGTTTGGTATCTATAGTCATCTTGGTTTTTGTTGTCTTTCTAAAAGTAGATTCTTGGTAGTGGCATGTTATTAAATTAGTCTATGATGTGAGCTAGGTCCACCTGGTGCAAATCTATTTATTTATCATATGCCTCAAGAATTTGGTGATCTAGAGTTGGCTAATGCTTTTCAAGGATTTGGTAGGGTCTTAAGTGCAAAAGTTTTTGTTGACAAAGCAACGGGGGTTAGTAAATGTTTTGGTAAGTGCATTATCTTTAACTCTCAATCTGATATGAGTATTAAGTATTTTTCTTTCTAAAGAATCTGTCTTTGCAGGTTTTGTTAGTTACGACTCTCCAGCAGCTGCTCAAAATGCAATAAACATGATGAACGGATGCCAATTAGGTGGTAAGAAACTGAAGGTTCAGCTTAAGAGAGACAACAAGCAGAACAAACCTTACTGATTGGGAGGTGAGTCATGGAAGGAAGCAGAAAATGTCTATCACATGTGGTCGCATGGAACTTGGATAATTGACTGATTGCTGTATTAGCATTTTGGATGGATTGGGGATAACTTGTGGTTATATGTCATTCCATCGTCTCGTAATTGCTTCATGGGATCAAAATCCCAGACACTTATAATTTGTGGTGCATTCCATGCCTACACGATCTGTATTCTGTGTATCATTGAATTCCATTTATACACTAATTATTAATTTATTGATTTTTCCTTGAGAATATCTGTTTGAAGCATAATTTTGTGGGACATCCATTATACAATGTTCCCCAAATGCATTATTTCCATGTTCAATAACTTGTTTTCCTGCAATTTGATTCTTTCCTTATCAAGTTACCTTCTGGGTTGGTTTATTCAACCCGTGTATTTTCACTCAAGAGCATTGTATGTCAGCACTTCTTCTTTTGTTCCTTGATGCAGTTCATTTTTTCTGATATATTTTTAAAATGCCTCTTCTTCCTGTTATCCTATAAGAGAATGGCTTGGGCAGTGCTGTGTTGATATCCAAGTTATCTGGATTGATTATCCATGTTTCTTTCAGAGAGATGCATTCTAATCTATAACCTTCAGGTACTACAAAATCGTTTTTGCGATGAGGTCATGTTATCTGAGGTTTTTTCATGTGATTTCCTTTCTGTCCATCTGGCCATGTAATCCCTCCATGGTTGTCACTTGCAGATTTTTACTGGAATTAAGATTTATCATGCAGGTACTTTGTTTCCCTTTCTTGAAATTAGTCTTTACATTTTTTGCTTGTGGTTGTGAAATGTGTAAGATGTTTGAATTTTAGAACTTAACTTCCAGTTTGCCTATCTTTCCTTCCAGTGGCTTGGTTCAAGATGTTGGACATATGTTACCTGGATGGTTCCTATCAAGTACTCTTCATTGAAATTTGAGGTATTTCTCTTGCTTTGCTGTTTTGGTTAGGAATGTCAATGGGTAGGATATGGGGCGGTTAGAGCATTCTCCATCCTCATATCTAGATTTTTATATTATACTCTACGAGTATTTTAAATCTACTTCCATCTCCATCCCCACGGATATTTAATGGGTATAGATAATTCCTGTACCAATAGTTTTTTAAAAAAAATAAAAATCAAATTTATTTTTTTAGTTTTTTTAATTTTTATCTTGCATATTTATGTAATTTTTTTTATAAGTATATAGTAATATTTTTTTAAATAAAAATATATTAATTTTAATTAATCTAAAATAATAATTTATATTATTTAATAAAAAATCTATTTACTAAATATATATATATATATATATGTAGGATACGGGTATAGGATAGATGCTACATTATCAGTCCCTATCCTTGGATAAAAAATTTAAAATCATACCATCCTTATCTCCATTCTCAGAATGTAATACCTATCCCCATCTTTATCCCTATCCTCATTCTGGTAAAAAGTCTGATTTTCTGTTGGGTTTGAGTAAAATTGATATCCTTAGTTTCAATTGAGCATTCTCCTGCCTATGCTGTTTCAGGGTAACCAGGGCTTAGCATCTCAAGTATTGCTTGTTGCTTGTATGTCGACTGTTCTTGGTACTGGGATCGAGGAGCATTACCAAAGGTACTATCTATGTCATTTATGAGAATCAACTTATGATGTGTTTGGTACATAAGATTATAATAGAATAGGCTAAGATGATATTATGAATATGATTATATTAAATAATGTCATCTTATCTTGTGTTTGATGTGTGCAAGGATTAGGATAGAATAACTGATTTATTTGTCAAAATTATCCTTCCTCAAAATTTATACAATTTAAATTATTGATGTAATTTTTAAGGGTATAATAGGAAATGTAAGTTCAATCTTATAGATTAAAAGTAATCCTCTCCACTTTGGGAGGATTGACTCATTTTATACTAAGAGGATGATTAATCCTCCTTGTAATTCTATTCCTTTCTTTAGATGCAAACCAAATATAATATAAGATGATTATTATCTTGTCCTACCCATCATCCTATGCACCGAACAAGACCTAATAACATTAACTTGGTTAAAATTGGAAGTACTGTGGTATAGAACTTAGATCTCACTAATTTGTGACTCACTTTCACAAGCCTTAATCAGTTAACACAGAACTATTTGACATGATGAACCTTTTCCCCCCATTTTACATCTCCTTGTTTTTTATGCTTGCTTATTTATATTTAGTTCAAAACAGCATGAAAATTGGTCTTTTTAAGGGACTTTGTGTGTTTAGAGGTTTACTGAATTTGTAGAATTGCTGGTTGCTGGCTTTATCATGTTGATATAAAGAACTGACTCCTTGGGGTAGACTATTTTGCTGGTAAATATTTTGGAATATCATACCTCAAAAAATAATAGAAGGCCGAACAACTGGAAGAGAACTCTTGCTGTGTGTCAAGGATTCATTTTATATATTTTGCTTTCTCACCATTTAGATTAGCAAATTATTCTTCTACCTTATTCTCTTAGTTTATTTGAAAGGTTGGATTGGAACAACCCCTACTTATGTATTTCAGCATTGTATTGCATTTCTTAAATTTCAGAAGCATTAAGCATCTCTTCAAAGGAGAATATTTACAGCAATGTTTTTGCTTGTCTAAAATCTTGAATATATTATGAGACTAGGATGTTATGTGTTCTGAACATCATGTATTCTTTTCATATGATGTTGCAAATTCTACTAGGTTGAAATTGTCTGTTTAAGGGTGACTTAAAAGGAAAATGCTTTGCTCAATCTGAGCACCAGTCACCCGCTAAACTGCACTGGTACTAAAATTTGGAGTAATGTTTTTGTTAGTTTTTAGCTTCAAGTGGTTTATATACCACGCTAATTGATATTTAAATTGCATTTATTAACGGATGACAATCTTATGTAGTAGAAGGAAATTTTGGACTACGTTGAAGCTTGCTGCCCCTGTTCCTTGACAATGGGTGTTGTTTTGTCCGTTTCAGTTGCAGTCATATCTGTCCCTCTTCTTTGGGACTATGTTGAAGCTTGCTGCCCCCGTCCCTTGACAATAGGTGCTGTTTTGTTCGTTTCAGTTCCATTCATATCTGTCCCTCTTCTTTTTCACGCCACATGTCAATATTCCTGCGGGTGCTTGCTGCATTACCGCTGCATTGTTCTTCCTGTTTGTTCTGTAAGTAAGACTTTATATGTAGACAAAGCAAAGAATCACACTTGTTTTATTAAGATTGAACTATATTGCTCACTTATAGAAGAATATCTAGTGTTGATATTTGAGTATGATTGGTGTAAATCTGTTGGCTGCTTTCTTTGCTCTTTTCATCTCCATTTTCTTCCCGTCTTTCTTTCTTTATTTTTTTCTCATGCTGATTCAATGTTACCCAGTGCTTTTAGTTTGAATCTGCCAAAGGATTTTGGATTCTCTCAAATGTTCAGAATTTTTTTTTAGGTGTCAATTTATAACATACAGATATATGACTTAAAATGTTTCTTAAATGGCAGGTTGATGAGTAACTTTTTCATTTATTAAACAAGTACTCTCTTTGCTTTAACTTGGTTGATTTGGGAAAGTAATTATCATCTTTCTCTGTTGAACTAGTCTTTATACATGAAATGGTGCATTTAAAAAAGTGGTCGACAAGTTTCAAACTAGGGAGTATATAATCCACATCCTATCCTCTGTATAAATCTTATACCTTTTGGCTTCATACACATCATCCCATTTTTTTTTAAATTTTTTTTCTTTCCATTTTCCATTTTTTGATATTTTCTTTTTTTTTTTGTATATTTTTTAAAATTAAATAAATTTTGTAAAAAAAAATAAAAATAAAAATAAAGATGGAAAATAACTGATATCTAAGAAGTTTTGAATCATATCAAACCAATCGGTATTTTTTTCTTTTAATTTGGGATTAAGTCAAGTTCTTTTTTTTTTTCTTAAATCAGGTCAGATACATGAAGAATTTAGGATGTTTGTCTCCTTTTGCGTGTAAATATATATATATATATATATATATATAATATTTTATTATTTATTTAATTTTATATCATTGTTGATGTTGGGTGGTAATTTCACTTTTTTTTCTTTTTTTTTTTGTCAATTTCTTATTATTTTTCCTTTAATTATTTTATCTTTTTTAATTAGATAATTAATAAAAATCACATGTATGTACACATGACACTTTATTTCGTTTTTTGTCTTCTTTGATTTTTTTAATTAGATATTAAATAACAAATATAATCAATAAATTAATTTTTAAAAAATTATTAATAAAAATATAGATAATAAAATAATTTGTATACGATAGATTTTGATTTATTCAAATTTGATATATGCATTCTTTTTATTTGATATCGAATTGGGATTTTTTATTTTATGAAAGTTAAAGTCAAGTTAAAGGTGGATTTATGATGTTTCATATTACCTTGATTATATATATTAAATTATTTTAAAATTATTTATTAATTTTAAATTTTATATGTATCATATTAACAAAATTATTATTTAATATTTTAATTTAATAAAAATATTATATTTATACATATATAAGATGTAATTTATCTATATATCAATTCATTTTATAAAGTTGATTCATTTTAAGTTTTGTTTAACCTTCATTCAAGGTTTCAATATGCTTTTTATTTTATTTTTTACTTTCTATTTTTGTTTTTTAAATTTTAATTTTTTATTTAGATAAATTTTGTAAAAGAAAAAAACAATATAGGTGCTCATGTGACATTTCAATTTATTTTTTTAATTTTTAATTAGATAAATTTTATAATGAAAAGAATCAATAGATAAAATGATAAAAACAATTTATATCTAATGGATTTTATTCAATTAGGATATTCACATAATATTTTAATAAACTTAATTTTCTTTTTAAATTTTTTTTATCTTTTTAAAAATATTAATTTTATAAAACAATCTATAAATGTGTTCACATGACATCCTATTTCAAGTTTTTTATCTTTTGTTTTTTGTATTTTTTTAATTAAATAAATTTTATAACATAATGTGCTAATTGATAGATATATCAAAATAAATTGTATCAAATGGATTTCAAATCATTTCAATTTGATAAGAAACAATTTTTTATGATTCGAGTTTTTGAAAGAAAAAAGAAATTGAGTTAAAAATGCATTTATGATATTTTATCTCAACCCATTTTGATATGTGTATAAAAAATATATTTTATTATTTATTTAGTTTTAAAAATATATTATATTAATAAAATATTTTTTACTTTGATTTAATATATTTATTTTTAAGCACAATATAAAATGTTAATATAGCACCTTTTATTACTTTTATTCATTTTTGAGTTTTTTTACTTTTTTCATTTATTTTTTTCCATTTTTTTGTATTTATTTTTTAAATTAATTTATGAAAAAAGAGACCAATTAATAATTTATGCTTCGTTTCTATTTTTTTAATTTAATAAAATTTATAAAAAATGGTAAAATAATTATATCTAAATCAAACAATTCAAAATAAAATATGAAAAAAAAAATAAAAAATGATACAATTTCAAATTTGAATAAAAATTATGAAGTTAATAAAAAAATATTTTATTTTTATATCACAAATTATAAAATAAAATATAATTTTATATAAAATATCATACAAATACACAAATACTAACTATTTTATACGATTTCAATAATGGAATTATCACATCTGCTGTGCTGGCGACAAGACGCGAATTCCTTCCTAGCAAATAAAGAGAGTACAGATGAAGCACGAAAATAAAGAAAACCCAACGTGCTTAGCCAGTTAATGCGAACCAAACAGGTACCTTCCAGTGGTTTTACTACACGTGGTTGTTTGCCGCAAACCAAATCTGCCATAAACACAATTGCTTCACGTGGGTTGCCATATTATTCTTTCTACTGGTTGAATCCATGTGATCTTTGCCTTATCCATTTAGTGCATGTTATTTAGTTGGCATCCCGCTCCCCTCCCACATGCTTTTTTTTTTTGAAATAATTAAAATTTAAACATTAATTATTAAAATTAAAAATAATAAATCAGATAATTATTCGTCATTTGCCTTTTTTTCACGACAAAATTTCAAACCTTCCACATTTAGACTACCTTTTTTTTCTTTCAGCTTAGCCGCCCAAATAATTTTTCTTTCTCATATGAACATCATTATCATATAATCTTTTATAATATGTTTAGGACTATTTTAAATTTTATTTGAATTTAATTTCTTTTCATACTATTTGTTGTTATTTTTCACTTGCTTTTGAGAAAATTGATTTCTCTGCTAAGATCAAACACCCAAAAAAAAAAAAAAGAATGGAATATTGACTGTCAGTCAAATAAACACTTTGCAAGTTTTCAGGTCAAAGATAGAGTAGTAAACGAAAACTTTAGTTGAAAATAGACCCAAAAAATACCAAATAGTCACAGTATTTATCTTACAACATTAATTCCAGGGTCGATTTTGTTGAAATGTGTTCAAAACAGTTCTTTTTTTTTTCTTGGTCGGTGTAGGCTGCCGAGTTTTTTTCTATCATCAGCCTGACATTTCATTTCTACAAGGTGGCAAATTGTGGCACTTAGTTCACTAAGATCAATTGTACAGGAAAAGTGACGTGCACTCGAATACAATATTTACAATTTTTAAATATTTGGATTTTTTTATAAAATAAATAAAAATAAAGATGAATTAAAAAATTAATAATTGAATTAATTGAGCTATTTTTAAAATAATCAAATCGATTAAAAATATTTTCAATAATTGAATTGTTAAAATATTGATTTGATTCGATTAATTCAATTAAATAATAGTATTTTTCGAAAAAATTATAACGAAAACAAATATAAAAAGTTGAACAAATTTGTCATATTTATCATTGAATAAAAATTATTTAAAAAATTAATTTAATCGATCGATTCAATTATTAATTTTAAACACAAAATTAATCAATTTAATTAATGTTATTAATTAATTATAATCAAAACTAATTTAATCAAATTAAATTAACCAAATTCATTTTATTTCAATCTAATCTATTCAAACCAACTTTGATCACATTCTTAAAAAAAAAAAAAATCTAAACAGGTTGAATCAAAATCCGGGACGTCAACACTTCTTTCTAGAAGTTTTGGTATTTTTTCTTTTCTAGAAGGGTGGCGCTGAACTCTGATGAATCTTTATCAACAATCAACATTGAGTACTCCTAGAAAAGAAAAGCAGATGTCACTTCCGTTTTAATATGCACCTCGTTTCTTCTCCATGGAATAAAACAAGTTCAATTTTAGAATGCCAACTTGCATATTTGATAGCCAACAGAAATTAATCAATTCTAATCAAACAAGGCACCGGCAGCCCACCTTTCTTCTTCTCAATTCCTTTTATAACAACTACATATATGCCTACGCTTCCCCACAGATAACAGTCTTTAAAACAAAGTCACAAAGCTATAGGATTTTTTTTTTTTTTTTTTTGTGTTTGTTGTTCTCACAATTGGATATGGACATTAAAAGTAAGGTTGTTGATGTCTCTTCTTTCTTGCTCTTTGAGGCTACCGGTGATTCGGAATCTGGTTGTTTTGATCCTGCCATATCTGTTATCAACCATGATGAAGATGGTGATGATGATAATGATGCAGAGTCATGCAGCTGTGACACAACATCTGATTTTCTTCATCGTGTTAGAGAGCTTAATAGCTTAGAAGAGAAAGTAAATGTTGGTGATGATCATCATGAAGATGAGGAGGACGGGGAGGTGGTGGAGCAGAAGGAGGTTTGTGCGTATAAAAAATGCAGGGATGATTATCAAAATATTAATGGAGTGGCAAAGGAAAAGAAACCATCAACTGTTTCTCTTGATTCAACCAAAACCAAGAATGAGATGGAAAAGAACAAGCTATTTTGGGAAGCCTGTCTAGCATCTTAGAGTCTGGGTTCAACCAAAACCATGAATGAGATGGAAAAGAACAGTCTATTTTGAGAAGCCTGGCTGAAATCTTGAAAGTCTGGCTTTTTTTTTCTTTTCTAGCTAGCCAATGACTTCCCCAATCCTCTTTTGTCAGTCATTATGTGTCTCATTCGTTCTGCTCCATGTTCTCCAGTTTCCTGTTTCCCCTATTCTTTAGTTCTTTTCCTCCCTTTTGTTGGGTACTTATCCATTATTTATTTTGTTGTTTGCGTACAGCCAATTGTACATAGATAACATGGTTTTGCAACGAAAGTATACAAATGAATCAACCTTGTTTCTGTAATTTTGCAGTTTTCTCTTTAATAATCTTTGGGTTTCTTTCTTTCCTGCCTTCCTTGAGATTATAGTTTGTTGGCTGGATTCTGCTTATTAAGCTGAAAAATTACTTTCGAAATAAAAGAACCTTTTTTTTTTTTTTTGATTGATGAATCAGATTCGATCAGCTGAAAAAACTAAACGCACGTATGAAAAATTCATTTGCGGATAAAAATAATACAATCTTCACTTGCCATTCTTTTTAGTATGGAAGAGGAGAATTTGACCTTTTAACAATTTATCAGCAGAAACATGTAACAGAAAGAAAAAAAAATCAAGTTAATAAATTACGAAGAGATTAATCGAAACATACGATGATATTGAGTCATCAAACTGAGGTTTGCAGAAATTGGATGCATAAGACAATCTCATAGTCAGCTCGCATCGTCTCTTGCTCACAGTCTCCTCTTCTGGAGGGCCATCACATGTAGGATGGTAATGGTTACCGGTATTCGGAATGATATGATTTGATTTTATTAAAATAGTTATGATATTTTATAATTGATTTAGATAGGGTTTATTTAGTAAAATTATTATTGTTACGGGTTCGATAAGTGATTTTAAGATATCTATTATCTGAATTCGATTATAAATATATATTTTTTAATATTATATATTTTTTATTTCTAAATTATTTATTTTTAATATAATACTTAATTTAATTAATTTATTAAATATTTTAAGTATAAATTTATTTTTATGAGATAATTTTAATTTATTAATTTAAATTTTTTAATAATATGCATTAAAATTGATTTTAAATTTAAGTTTAAAAGGCAAATTTTAATTTAATAAATGAGTATTTAACATATTCATATAATTATAAAATATTTTTTTATATCATATGAATAGAACTCAAATAATAAAAATTAAAAATATTTGAGAAATTACTAAATTCAAATATATTGATAAATAATTGAATCCGAATATGAGTAGCTAAAAAATAAATACCCAATCCGTTCACATCTTTAATATCCGAATGAGATGAAGTGGGGTGGCAAACATCCTCCTCTTGCAATCTCTTCACGTTCATGAGCAAGCATCAAGGTCTTGAGCAAGTTCATGACTTGCACAGCATGCATCAGAGCCATCGAATGGATCCGACATCTGCTCAAGAGAAAAATGAACAACTAAAACAATTATTTCGTGGTAGTTTCTAGTAGTTGATGAACACAAAATCTGGACCGAATTATTATAATCATTGTTTCTGCAAGCTAGAAATTAAAATTTGCAAGATATTGAAGAAATTAACGCCACCTTACCTGAGTCACATATAGTTGGGGCAAAAGCCATGCAATGCAATATTTCTTGCATTCATTTTATTTGATCCCTCTTCCTCAACAACATCTGCCATAAGACCGATGGCCAATTGAGCAGTGCAGCTTCAGTTGGCTCTAGTTGCTTCGTAAGGTCATCGGATTCTTCTTCGGTTTTGCATTCACTGGAGTGTTCAAAAAAACTCGTATTATTATCAACTAGGTTTTTTTACTCTTTGTATGATTAATTTTTTATTTTTAAAATACTTAAATAATATATATATATGTATAAACATATATGTATATGTATATATGCACACTTACATATATAAGTTTTTTAAATTTTAAGAGTTTCTCTTTATTGAAATAAAAATTAAGATAAAAAAACAAACTAAATTTTTAAAAAATAAATCAAAAAATTAAAATAACAATCATATAAAAAATATATTAGTATGAAGGACCAATGAAATCATAAACCTACAAAAGAAATAAAAATGAAAAATCAATAAAATTTACTTATATTGTTTATTTTTAAATGATTTATTTTTAAACCATTAATTCATGGAATATGTATAGATTGAAATTAATATAATAATGAGTTGTGACTCTTCATCTATCTATTATTAATTAAATTTAAATAAGTAGTAACATATGAAAACTTTTTAAAATAAGGTTAATTTATATTTCTTTTTCTTTTCAAAGATTTATTTTCAAATCATTAAATAATGAAAAATGAAAAGTCGAAATGAATAAAGATCTACTTAGACATATGTAAAACTAAATTAGTTTTACACCATCTCATATTATTTTATATGATTTATATTTGATAATCCAATTATTAAATTTTATGCACTATTCAAATAAAACATGCATGCCAAATTTTAAGTAAATGTAAAATATATAACTATTTGTGTGATAATAATAAAATGTTGATCATTAATATATATTAAAATGATATTATTCTTGAACAAATTATAAGAATATTAAATTGACTTGAAACATTAAGTGAATAATGGATACAAATAGATTAAATTTAATGGTCGATTTATAAAAAAAAAATAAAATTATCTTATATGAAGTTATAAAATGGTGTAAAACAAAGCAATTTTATACTTGTGTAATTTGATCCCTCTACTAAAATTAGTATAATATTTTTTTAAGACTTTTCATATATTTGACATTTTTCCTAAATTCATTTGTTAGTAAAATATGAAAAATTTTTAAGAATAAATTGATTATGAACAAAATTAAAATTAATATGATAATATTTTATAAAGTTTCTTTTTTTCTATCATTTTAATTTGCATGGTGGTAGAAATTTATGAAAGTTTAAAAAGTTTATTTATATTTTTTCTCTTTTTTAAATATTTATTTTTAAATTATTAATTAGTAAAATGTAAAAACATAAAAAATAAATATTCTAAGTTTTCATATTTTACTTTTTACTTTGAATATATAATGAATTAACAACTTAATATATAACATATATACATCATTAATGAGCATATTTATTGTTCGTAACCTAATTATATATATATATATATATAGATAAATATGATAACTCTTTGTATTCTAAATTTTTTTATGTTAATTTATTAAAAAAACAAGTAATACTTGCAAATATTGAAATTAACATGATGACTTTTTATATTATGATTTTTTATTTAAACTAATTTATACTAAAAAAGATAACAACATTTAATATTTGTACTTATTTGTGGTAACCTACCATTACATAGAAATAAATGGAGAATAAATTATTTTTAATATATTAAATAAAAAAATAATAAATATTTTTTATCTCTTATTTATGTTTGTACTTTCTAAAATGTATGCTATCACTAAAAGATCATGTTTTAAGGGATCAATGATAAAAAAAAAAAATTAAAGAATCATTTTCATTAACTAAATAAAGGTGCTGTTTGGCAAAAAAATATTTTGAAAAGGAAATCTAAATAGGTAAATACATTTAGATAGCCATAAGCTATATTAATTTGACATAAACCCCTAATATTAATTATTTGGGTTAATGTTATAAATGGTCTCTGAATTATAGTGAAATATTAAATGTGATCTGAATTTTAAAAATCTCTAATGAAGTATTTAAACTATGAATTTGTTAATTAATATGATATTTATCCTTAATATAACTAATTTTAAATGATGACACACGGCGCACAAACAACCTTTCAAATAACATATTAGTTAACAAATTCATAATTTAGATATTATATTAGAATTTTTAAAGTTTTGGTATTACATTGAATATTTCACTATAGTTCATAAATCATTCTTAACATTATCCATGATTTTTTGTCTATAACATTATCCATGATTTTTTTGTCTATGTACCTAGAAGCAGAAACTTATATGAAATTTCTATTATAATGAATTATTTTTCAAAGCTATTGTGTGATAATTACCATGGTTTCAATAGTGGAATAAGATTGATCAATTTTCATTAAATTTTTAGGAGATGTTTGGTTTACGGAATCTTAGATTCTTGAGAAAGTGTGGATTCTTGGCAAAAAGTGATTCTTCATGACATGAGATTTTTAGATTTTTGTTTTTGGTTGGGAGCAAACTCAAATTCTTTAATCATGTATTTTTATTATAATGTCCTTTATTACATAACAAACATAATGTTTTTGTAAAAAAAAAATTCATAATTACTGTGTTTCAAATACTCAAAACGCAACATTTAAGTGAAAATTAAAAAAAAAATTAGTTACTCAAATACTGCATTTATCTTCCAAAAAATGTAGTAAATAATCCATAATTATTGAGTTTAAAAGCCTCAAAATGCAATATTTTGAGTAGAAAAAAAAGTTCTAAAAAACATTACTCAAATATTGCATTTCTATTCATGGAAACACAGAAATTGCAAGACAAGTATTCATTTTACTTCCATTCCATTAACAATCATAATTACTTTACAAGCATTAATTGTCTTACAAGCATTATTTGCAAATTTATGATTAAATAACATATGCTCACAAATATTTTAAATTTATGACTCAAATATTGTGTTTCTATTAATAGAAACGTAATAATTATAAGACAGATATTAATTTTCATGTCCATCAGCAATCATAATTGCCTTACAAATATTAATTGTTTTACAAGCATTGATTGTAAATTTTTGACTACATAACAGATGCCCATAAAATTTTCAAATTTATGACTCAAATATTGCGTTTCTATTCATAGACATGCAGTAATTGCAAGACATATATTAATTTTCCATCCAGTAATATAAAAGAAATTTATTACTAGTCAAATACTGCGTTTTTGTTCAATGAAATGCAATAAATAATCACAATTGTTGTGTTTCAAAGCCTTAAAATGCAGTATTCGAGTAAAAGAATATAGAAAAATTTACAAGTAATCAAATATTGCATTTTTATTCAAAGAAATGTAGTAAATAATCACAATGATTACGTTTCAAAGTCTCCAAACACAATATTCAAGTTGAAAAATATAAAAAAATTTTAATTTCTTTCTATATGTTGATTTTCAAAAGGGTAAAGTAGAAAAAAATATTTTTTATTGAAGTTAAATGTGGGATAAAAGTAACTTTTCTCCAAAAATCTTAAAAAATCACAAGGAGATGTGAGTTTCTAATTCCAAGACTTTTGGATATTGTTAAGAATCTAAGATTACTTTCAGAAATAAGATATCTGTAAACCAAATGTGAAAATCACATTCCCATAAGTAAGATTCTAGGAAAAAATTTCAGATTCTCCCAAACCAAACGTCATCTTAATATTTTATCAAGTACATACATATATTCTCATACTTTTGGTAGCCTTTAAATTAAAGATCTTAATGACGATGATATATG